CCTCGAACACGCAGATGGACGACAGCAGCCGAAGGAACCGATAAACCAACTCTTCGTCACTGGCCTTCAACCGTTGCGCGATCTCGCTCGACGTCGGCCACTGTTCACCAGGCAATCACATCATTAGCTTCTCGCTCGAACAGACCACACCTGAGCACACCAGGTCGCGTACCAGTTGGTCTGGCTCTGGTGGCACGACGTCAGCGAGGCCGAGGGTGGCGGCGGCGTGGAGGGCGCGGTTGTGCACGAACTTGAAGTGGAGCTCGAGCAGCCTCAGCTGGGGAGGGAGGATCGCATCGCGTAGGCTCTGGAGCCAGGCGAGCACCCTATTCAAGGCGAGCACGACCCATCGAGGAGGCAAGGGGAATGCAGCGCCTTCGTTTGCCCACGACGCGAATGGTTGGGAAGAGGGAGTGGTGGATGAAGAGAACGTAGAGGAAGAGGTTGGAGTGGCATAAGTGGAGGAAGGCGAGTAGAGGATGGTGGCAGCCACTACCAGCAAGGCCGCAGCCAGAGCAGCAAAGTGAAACACGCGCATCAGCTACAGATAGTGATTCTTTGTTGTGAGGTGCTGTAGTTACGTACAAGTGTTGGCTGGTGGTCGCTTCAAGCAGGTCCGCTTGCTGACACCCTGATCGTGCAGCCGGACCACCCGAAACGAACGACCGAAATGTCGCCGGTTGCCTGTACTTTTCCCTTCGTTTCCTTTTCTATTTCTTTGTCCAGTTGTCATAAAATCCAGCTTTCCTTTCTTGGTGGCGACACGACGCAGAGTGTGCGCCCTCAGCAGAGAATGGGCGAGCAGCTGACCGAAGAAAGACCACAGGCCAAGATGGAAGAGCTGGTGGATCGCATCGGCTTGCTGATGCCAGCGTATGACGCATATGTACGTAGGAAGGTGGTTTGATGACGTTCTTCCTGTACTATGTCGTGCTGTGGCCGGGGGTAGCGCCCTGCTCGGTAACATCCTGGAGGGACGCGTTCTTCCCAACAACGACCTCGTCCTGGATGTGGAGTTCATGTTCGACGTGACCTTGTCCCCTACTGGCGACCCCAACCAGGATGCCCCCGACGTGGCCTTCCTGTCTGCTGCCCTGCTGTTGTGGTGTGCCTGGTGGGCAGCTGGCCCCTTACGATTCTGCTGTCGCCCCAGTCCCTTCCTCTGTTGGACTCTTAACCAATAAGATCCCACCAAAGTGTAAAAAATCATCAAAGACAAAGCGTTTGTGAAAGTCTGTTTCAGACAGCGTAGCGTGGGAGAGAGACCTCACTGAGCGACAGCGCCTTCGACGAGGTGGAAGATGCCGCGAGTGTGAGTGACGCTCAGCATGCGGAAGCCGGCGGCTTCGAACACCTCGCGGAACTGGACCTCGCTGCGCTCCTTGCCGTTGAGCATCACCGCCATGTGCAGGTCCTGCAACTCCACGCTCACAGGGACCTGCCTGGTGTATTGACCTACACTCGATCGAGAGAGAGAGAGAGAGAGAGTGTAGTCAGCCAAATTGTGGAGACAATGGTGCCCATCACCTTACGGCTGAGCTGGGGGTGAGTGCAACGTACCTTCAGGCGCGAGCAAGCTGTCGACTACGATGAGCCGACCGTTGGGTCTCATCGCCCTGCGTACGTTCTCGAGGATCTTCACGCACACATCGTCTACAATACGTATTGTTCGCACATTGGCATGCGTCAGCTAATGGGGCCTGTCATCGACAAGCTACTTAATACATGTAATTGCACATCATCGTACCGGGCCAATCGTGCAGGATCATCCGCATGACGTAGATGTCGGCCGAGGGAACCCGGTTCAAGAAGCTGCCTGGAGAGACAAAAGACATGAGAATCCGTAAGCTGGGTCTTGGGGTGGTCGGTCGGCTGACTTGTCACTCACCGGATTCGAAGGCGATGCGCTCCTGGAGCGGACCCTGGGTCCATCGCTCGGAGCTCTTGGCCCGCTCGATCACTGTCGACTGGTCGAACAAGATGCCCTGTTGTGGTCCGAAGCAGCGGTTGATTGGCAGATCAGTTGCCATCACGAGTGCGAGCAAAGACGATTCTCGACTTTCGCGTCGATGGATACCTTGGCCTGGGGGAGTGCCTCGAGCACCATGGCGAGAACGCCGCCGAGTCCGCCGCCCACGTCAGCCACCACCAGGTCCTTACTACGGCCAACATCCTTGGCCACCCGCTCCCAATCGAAGTCCCACACAAGGGGACCCGTCATCGTGCCTGCGGCAAAGGAAACAAAAGAAAGAGGAAGAAAGAAAATGAGTCCATATGTGCCTCGGGACGCAGGACAGAGAGCAAGCAAGGAAAGAAGACGTGGAGACGCGTACGGCTGATCTCATCGAACATCTTCTGGAAGCTGGTGAGCTCTTCCTTGTTATCGTCCTCATTGTAGTACTGCCAGAGGTCCTTACCCCCGTGCATGTGCATGAACGCCATCTCTGCTCACACACACACACACACACACACACAAGAGCGCGACGTGTTTGTTCTAAGAATGAGCCACCGGCTCTTTCCCGCCAATACTCGGGACCGAGTGGAGCGTACCGCCGGTGGCGATCTGGTGGTGGAGACCACGCCAGCCGTTGTAGTGCGACTGCGCCCAGCACGAAACGGTGGACCTGAAAAGAGAAAGAGAAAGGGTCAAGTGTGAGCGAACAGTTTCCAACTTCAGCTGTGCGAGTGTGACTATGAATCGCACTTGGCGGTGGCGGGGTGATCTGCCCGGAGGAGAGCCGAGGAAGGCGTGTGCGAGAAGCGACGTCCGGGGAACTCCCTGAACACGCCCACCGAGGCCAACAGGCGGAGCGTGCGGTACAGCAGGTCCACGTCCTTGGCGCCAACTCGCTCGGCCACACTCTCCACTGACGGCCAGGCTGCACAGAATTTAATAAAAGTTAAAAAACCAATTTCTTATTTATTCGAATAAATAAAGCCTTTGAAATGAATTCTTCACAATAAATAATGTTTTATTATATTATTTAAATAAAAAATAGTCTACGGAGGATGAGTCACGTAAGTAGTGAGGTGACGTACCTTTGGCGCCGGCGGGAAGGGTGAGGGGAATGGCTTCGGGGATGCCCAGGCGGGTGACGGCGTGGAGAGCCTGGGTCTGCCAGTGGGCATGCACCATCTCGATGATCTTCATCTCGGGCGGAAGCACCCGATCGCGCAACGTAGCGAGGGCGTTGAGCAACCACGCGAATGCGAGCACGACGAAGCGGGGCGGGAGGAAGGGCATGGTTGGTCGGGCAACCACACTGCCATCACCCTTCGATCCCAAGCCCAAGAAGAAGATGGCGGCCACCACGAGGGCCAGCACAACCGCCACCAGCAGCCACATTGCTCGCGAGGTCAAAAAGAAATATTCAGTTTTCTTTGTGTTTGTATTTATTTTATCATTTATTTTTCGAACTTGCGGAGCATTCATTCATTACATTTATAATTGGGTGATGAGTGCGAACGGGGTCAAGCGGAAGAGGGCGGCAGGGAAGAGGAAGGCATCTGGCGATTCAACGCGAGATGGAAAAAAGGAATCAATTCAACCTGATGATGCCGCGGCGAGTCCCACAGCGATTGAGGCATCCAATGGCAAAACTGCAGATGAGACACCCGCCAAGAAGCAGAAGGTGGACGAGACGGCAATCGCGGCCATAGGCCAAACCAGGAAATCTCAGAAAATGAAGAAAAACGCAAAAATCTCGAAAGATGAGAACAACGATCAGGAGGCCGCACAAGAGATGGTCGACCAAACGGCGCAAACGACGGAAGGCGAGGAGGTACAAGCGGCGCCCGCGGCCGGCCAAGTGGTTCCCCACAGGCCCAGCGGCCTCTACGGCGAGGTGACCAACAAGGGCTGGGACGACGTCACACCGGCGCTGTCGGCAGGCGTGATGGACATCATCACCAACAAGCTGGGCTTCAACCGCATGACCCCCGTCCAGGCCGGCACCATCCCGCTCTTCCTCTCCTACAAGGACGTCTGCGTCGAGGTACACATTCATCAGCCCTTCGCCGGTGTGTCGTGTGTGTCGTGTGTGTCGTGTGTGGTGGCTGACAACAGTGCGATGGCGCTCGCCAGGCGTGCACGGGGTCGGGCAAGACGCTGGCCTTCTTGGTGCCCCTGTTCGAGATGCTCCTGCGCAGGGAGGACCCGCTGAAGAAGCACGAGGTGGGCGCACTCATCATCACCCCGACCAGAGAGCTGGCGAGCCAGATCACCGAGATCGCCAAGGTGTTCATCGAGAACCTGAAGGGCACGCCCGGCAAGCAGTCCTTCACGCTCCAGGTCTTCATCGGAGGCGTGGAGCTGTCACACGGTGCGCACACCCTACAACATAGCTACCACCAGGCACAACCCACTAACTCATAAGTTGTGTGTGTGTGTGTGTGTGTGGTGAGCAGACATGCGAAAGTTCCAGGCGGAGGGTGGTCACGTTATCATTGGCACGCCCGGCCGGTTGGAGGACATCATCAACAAGATGGACCACGTCTTCAACACCAGGAGCCTCGAAGTGCTCGTGCTGGACGAGGCCGACAGGCTGCTGGAGATGGGCTTCCGGCCGCAGATCAACACCATCCTCAACAGGCTGCCCAAACAGAGGCGAACCGTACGCACCCACGGCCCTGCCCTCCACCACTCACGCGCAGACGTTTTAACTCCGATCCACGACACGACCAACGACACGACACGGTTGTGTGTCATGCGTGTATGTCAACAGGGCCTCTTTTCCGCGACCCAGACGCAAGAGGTGGAGCACCTCGCCCGAGCCGGCCTGCGCAATCCGCTTCGTGTCGGAGTCAAAGTGCGGACCAAGGGCGCGCAGGTCAAGAACCAGAAGATTCCCCTGACGTACGTGATTGTTGATCGACAAACAACAATTCTTTCGAGTCACGCACGACACGCACAGGCGCACACAGTCGCGCACCCACTCACATGCCAATCGGAGACAGGCTTACGAATTGGTACATGACGGTCGAGAGCGATGAGAAGTTGGCGCAGCTGTGTCACTTCATCACGACGCACTCCTCGCAGAAGATCATCGTCTATTTCCTGACGTGTGCGTGCGTGGACTACATCTACCGGGTACGCACTCAACCGGCACACGACGCACGACACACACGCACACGGACACACGACGCACGACACGCACGACGCACGACACGCACGACACCACCACACACGCGCTAAACGCAAAGAATGGTCACTTGCAGGCGTTGACGGTCCTGAAGAAGTCTAAGGCCATTCCCGAAGATTTCGAATTCCTTTCGCTGCACGGCAAGGTGCCCCAGCAGAAGCGTCCTCTCGTCTTCAACAAGGTGCGGCGCCTGTCCCTCCATCTCAGTAGCGTTTTGGTGCGGAAAGCTCACCTGCGACACACACACGACACACGACACACACACGACACACATACGACACACAGTTCGTTTCGGAGAAGAACGGCTGCGCTCTGCTCGCCACCGATCTGGCGGCCAGAGGCCTCGACGTGCCCGACGTCGATTGGATCATCCAGTACGTGCACCCCCGCACGCTCTTCGTTCTTTCGCACACTCTTCGCTTCGTTCTTTTGATGTTGACGAACCGCACATACGTTTGGCTGCCAGGTACGACCCGCCGCAGGACCCGGACACGTTCGTCCATCGAATCGGCCGCAGCGCTCGTATGGGCCGAGAGGGCAATGCGCTCGCTTTCATCATGCCACACGAAAACGACACCTCCTCCGGCTACATCGGTAACACCACACACACGACACACACACACACACACACGACACACACACAGCATGTCGCTGACAATGGCGCGTGTCATCCATCAGATTTTATGAAGTACAAGGGCGTGCCATTCAGGGAGATGGAAAAGGCGACGGACGTCATGGACGTGATCCCCATCGTGCGCCAGGCCGCCACCAAAGATCGAGAACTCATGGAAAAGGTGCTTTGCTCCGTTGTCGCGCTTAGCTACGTGTGTCTGCGAGTGGCTCGCTGACGTTATCCTTGTGCTCTCCGATTGCAGAGCAAGCTGGCCTTTGTCTCCTTCGTGCGCGGCTACAAGGAGCACCACTACAAGTACATCTTTGTGTTCGAGCGCCTCAACCTGGGCAAGCTCGCCATGGCCTTCTCCCTCCTTCGCGTACGTCATTTCTCTTTTTCGCTTTTCGCTTTTCTCTTTTCTCTTTTCTCTTTTCGCTTTTTCCTCGCCTGACAACACGGTGGGTTGTGGTGATCGTGTGCAGCTGCCGTCGATGCCCGAGACCCGCAACAAGAAGGTGGACGACTTCACGCCGGTCGAGATCGAGCTGTCGGCGGTGCCCTACACGGACAAGAAGAAGGAGAAGCAGCGCAAGATCAAGCTGGCCAAGAGCCTCAAGGAGGAGGCCGAGAAGCGGGCCAAGGTGGGCAAGAAGGGCGCCGACGTCAAGAACTCGGCGCCGTGGAGCCGCAACCAGCTCAAGAAGGAGAAGCGCGACAAGCGCAAGATGCTCAAAGACAACAAGCGCAAGCGGATCGAGGAGGTGCGGATGGGCCTCAACAAGAATGGTGATGGTGACGACGATGACGATGACGGTGAGGAGGACTGGAAGGAGCTGGAGAACGATCTCAAGGAGGAGCGGCTGCTCAAGAAGCTGAAGCGCGGCAAGATCTCCAAGGCCGAGTTCGAGAAGCGCACGGGCGAGCGAGATCTCGAGGAGGAGTTTGAGAGCGAGCTGGCCAAGGAGGCCGAGGTGGCGGCCCAGGCCAAGGCTACGGCCGCGGCCGCTGCAGCTGCTGACACTGACGCGACCGACACTCCGCCCGCGGCCACCACCACCAAGAAGAGCAACAACAAGAAGAAGAGGAAGAACAAGAACAAGAAGCGAAGCCACTGAACTCATCGTGAAAGCGAAGCAACAACGTCATTAAAAAAAAATTGCAGCTGCCTCAACACAAGAACATGATGAGATCAGTCGGAGGTCTTCTTGTCTCCCTGCACAATGGTGACGCGATCGCCCGGGCCGTAGAGTGTCACGCCCACCCGCAACTGCAACACCACACGCACACAGCGCCGAGCGATGGAAGGCGTGAGTGATCAGCCACGATTGCTATCGAGAGGGGGAGCTGGTCGCCGCACCTCATGGGGGAGGCCGGTGAAGGCGACGCCAAGATCCAACCCATTGACGGCGTACGACACCGTCTTTTCGTCTGAGTCAATGACCAGCTTGACCACATCACCTGCATCACCATCGCCAACACACCAAGTGGTGGGTGAGGTTCGCCTTCGCGTGCACGTACGCACAGCCGCGTACCTGTGCTGAAGCCGTTGCCGTAGGGCACGTTGGAGCCGCCGGCGTCGGTCTTGCCCCAGCCCGCAGACGAGGCAATGGACCAGCTGGGGGCCACATTGCCAATATAGGCTGCAGCATCACAACCATGAGTGTACACACCACACACACGATACACGACACGACAAGCACCGACACGACACGACAGCACGACACACGACACGACACGACACAGCCGACGGAAAAGAAGCGCTTGGCTGTTGGCGTACTGGTAGCAGAGTGAACTCGGCCGCGGCCGCCGGCACCTCCGGAGCTGCGCCAACCGTTCCAGTCCTTGGTGGCCACGCCGATGAACATCCAGCCCGAGTTGCAGGCGTCCACCCGAATGTAGAACGTGTGCTTGCCCGGCCTGGAGGACTCAGTGCGTGGTGAGCCCACACGCAACAGTGCCATTGCGGAGAGTGGGGGGAGTGGGGGAGTAGTACGCTCGGACGTAGGTCTCGGCCAGCACGGTGTTCCACCGGTTGGCGGCGGACGAGGCCCGGTAGGACGCCGTCATTCGATTATCGCTCACCACGATGTCTCCGCTCTTCTGTGTCGCTGACCACCTCAGCGCACCTGCGCGAGAAGCCAGAGCCAGACACGGCGGCGGCTGTTCGTCACACCACAGCACGCACACACACGACACACACGACACACACGACACACACCAAGCTGTGGCTAACTACACGTACCCTTCCGTGGCTTGCACCGGCCTGCCTGTGTGAGATGTGGATCCGGACACAGCTTGTACCTGTTCACGGCACCACAATTACGTAAATATTCGTATTATATTATCATGTGATAAATAAATAAATAAATAAATAATAATAAGCAAGAAGGCGTGGTAGTGGGACCTGAAGGCCTCGTGCAGAAGCTCGTGTGTGATGGGCAGAATCTCGAGAATGGGGTTCTTGCCCACGTCCTCCAGCAGGAAGCGGGTCTCGAGTAACGGGAATCGGATCAGCGGCAGCAGCTGCTCCAGCACCCGATCGGCTCTGCGCGGGTACGTCCACGCAACGAAGCACCAATTAGGAGGAACGAAGATTAAAAAAGCACGAATGAGCGTCACGCACAACACAACACGAACCGTTCATAGATCTGGTCCTGCGAATATCGGATGACGGCGGCGAAGATGTCCTCCTCGTAGGCCTCGATCTCGTCGCGACGCAGAAGCTCCTCCCACATCCCCGGGTTGAGCCGCATCAGCGTCCCGTCCTTGGAGGCCCTGGTCCAGTTGCGGGCAAAATACTGAGCGCACAGCTGGCCCAGCTTGACACACCCGTACTTGGCTGCAATCTCCTGCAGGACGGAGAGAAGCGACAACAATTGTCGTTACACACACACACACACACACACACACACACACCGGAAGGAAGGACTACCATGAGCGACGCGACGTCCTTGTTGTCATCGTAGAGCATCTCGCCGCACTTTTCGCGAAGGGAGACGACCCGATACTTGGACGCCAGTTCGATCAGCAGTAGCAGGTCGGACTCGGCAAACGAGGTCGTGCCTGCGAAAGCGATGCATAGCGCTGGTCAGCATCTCGCCCGCAGTGAACGAAGAAGAAGAAGAGGAAGAAGAAGAAGAAGAGGAAGAACGTTCAGATGCGCTTCGTACGTACCGGTGTAGATGAAGTCTAGCATGTAGTTGAAGATGCGAAGCGGGATGTTCCCGATGTCAACGTCCACCTCCTTCACCTCGCACGCATCTTCCTCGTCCATGGCTGTACCAACAAAGCCAAAGCCAGCCGCGCACAGATGTGAGCAATCGCACCAACACAACAGACGTTGAAGGGCATAACGGAGCGATCACCATTCTCCATGTCCTTGGAGCTGTTCCCTGTAGCGAGTGACAGCGAATTCAAGTTGATGAGCGTTTGGGCCACAACAAACAAACAAACTACACTCCATGAAGCCAGCGCAAGCGAATGGAGAAGTGAAGCGCAGACGCACAAAGGAGAAGCTTGAACTCCTGCGAGGCCATGGAGAGCACAAACTTGTGGGCGGGGACGCTGACGGGCTCCTGGTTCTCCTGCAGGACGTTGAGGGTGACGTCGGTGAACATTCGCGCTGCGAGCAGCTGCCGGAGTCCCTTCTGCAGGTGACCACCAAAGGCCTTCGCGACAAACGACACGGCTCTCTCGACCGGCTCCTTGCCACGTCCATTCTTCACAACATGACGATGATGATGATGCCACACACGCGGACGGCGGCCGCAGCGGTCAGTGACAATGGCACACTGCAAGGCGAGGCCCAGAGAGGAGGCTTGGGTGTGGGGGGTGTACTGGCGCGGGACGTCAACGGGGTCCGACCGGGCTGGCAGGGCCGCTACACCGCCTTGATCAAAGAAGGCGCTTATGGCTTGCTATAAAGCAGGGGCGTAGAGCCCCAGCATGAGTGCACCAAACCCAACATGCCCAGATCGAGAGTGTTGCATTAACAAAGAAAATCAAATAAATTGGTTGGAGGTGATTAATAATAATGTTGGGGCGGTACCTCCATGTTCCAACCCGTCATTTCCATGAAGAAGCGCCCCGCCTCCGCATCAGCCCCCGTGACTGAGCTAAACGTGGCGATTTGCACCTCCTGGTCCTCCATCTCGTGGTGTTGGCTTTTCTTGAACGCTGCACAAGAAGCTTAAATTATTTTTTACTGGTTTTTATCATTCGCAGAAATCCGATTCAAAAATTCGTTTTACCTGGAATTAACAAATTGTAACAAATACGATCTGGCCGTTACTCCTTTCAATTTTAATCACACAACCGATTTTATACAAGCCCTACAAGAATGGTACGTCTGGCAGTTCATGGCCTTCCACATGATTCGTGCGGTGCCTCATCTCTTTTTCATGTAATGGCTTCAGTCAAAGAAGAAGGGACTATCGTACGAGGAGAAGAGGAAGCGCCTGCTTGACCTGCTTCACGAAAGGGTACACCTGCTGCCCAGTGCCGTCCAGTGAATGTTATGAATGAATTCTGACATTAATCGCGTTTGCAGAAAGATGCCTTTACGCTCAAGGAATTGGAGAATCTTGCCAAGAAGGAGAAGGGCATTGGTACGAGTGGCCTACGTGCTCTGTGATTAACTGTCTGCTGATATTGAAAATCGCTGGCCTCGTGTAGTGCCTCAGTCAGTCAAGGATGTGGCACAAGGTCTCGTGGACGACGGTGACATCATGCTCGACAAGGTGGGCACCACCAACTACTACTGGTCCTTCCCATCGCAAACGTTGATCACCGTACGTTGGACCACCACTTCCACAAGAGCTAGAACCTTGTGCTCCGCCTCCACTACCCTCTCTGGTTAGCTGACGCGGCGAACGGAACACAACAGAAAACGAACATCATCAACAAGCTACAAGAAGAAGTCGACGTGCTCAAGCGAAAGCGAGACGACCTCCACTCCGAAGAGAGCGCTTCCACCAAGGGAAGGGAAGAGTCGGACGAAAGAGACGCCAAGCTGGCCAGGCTGGAAGAGGTCAAGGCCAAGAATGCCGAGCTCAAGGCCGAGCTGAAGAAGTACATCGAGTTCGATCCGGAGCTCATCGAGGACATGGGTTCGTGCAGCACCAGCCTTCCAGCCCTGCAGCTCTCTGTGGGTTGGTCTAACGCAGCCTCTGTTTGGCTTCACAGAGAGCGACATTGCCGAAGCGCGGGACGCCGCCAACAGGTGGACGGACAACATCCTCACGCTGCGCAAGTGGTGCTCGGAGAAGTTCGGCATCGAGGAGGAGGCCTTCAACTCCAGCTTCTCCGTCCCGGAAGACCTCGACTACGTGGAGTAAGGGGGCCTCGTCCCCGGCCCACAAGAAGAAAGACCACCTTCTTCAGGGTCCCCTCGCCGCTCTTTGTGTCTGTACATAAAAGCCTCGTGCCAATGAGATAAGAGCATCGTCGCCTCTTATTCAACGAGCGTGCGGTGAAAGTGTTGTACAACCGTTCACGCAACATAGATAGTACATGTGTCCTCATAGCCAAAGCCTGAGACTAACAGGTCGCGGTGGCACCCCAGATCTGCTGGTAGGTCACGGAGCTGACCAAGAAGGCATCGCTCACCTTGGGCGACGTGTTGGTGGCCGAGATGTAGAGCGAGGCGGACATGGTGGTGGTGGGAAGACCGTTGCCGGAGGTGGTGGCGTTGTAGGTCGCCAGCAGGGTGCCGTCGACGTAGAACGAGAAGTAGGTGGGCATGTAGCGGATGGTGTATTCGTGGAAGGCCGAAGACGGGTTGCCGATCGCGAGGGCGCCGACCCACTTGAGGTACTTGTACTTGCCGTTGATGGTGTAGTCGAGCGCGCCGCCGTTGGAGCCGTCTTGGTTGGCGCGCACGCGGAACGTGATGGCGTTGGTCGGCGAGGCACGGTTGTTCAACTGTTAACATACACAGTGAATAGATTAGGGTGCTGTTGGTATGTGTCGTGTGGTGTCGTGTCGTGCGTGTGTAGCTTAATCACACGCACCTCGAACTGGGCAGTGAAGCCGGTAACGGAAGGGGCCTTGAAGCGGGCGGTGTAGACGCCAAAGCCCCACAAGGCGGACTTGGTGTAGACCGACCCGGCCGTGAAGTTGAACCCGTTGCACGGCGCCGCTGTGGTGCAGGGCGCGATGGAGAGCTTGAGCTGGTTGGACGACGTCGACACCCTGGCGGCCTGGTTGGCCTGGCTGCCCGACGCCGAGGTACTGGTTGACCACATGTTGGTGTCGAGCGCGCTGCCAAACGAAGTCACGCTAAACTTGGCTGTGATTGGGGAGAGATCACGTTAACATGCAGGTTGCATGCGTCGAAGTGCAGAACGGTGCGATCGAGCGCGAAGCGTGGTGCGGGCGTACTGGCGTCGGTGGAGCAATCGGAGCCGTGGAAACCGGTGTCGCACTTGCACTCGCCGGTCTTGGTGTTGCAGCAGCCGTGGCCCGAGCACGACTTGGGGCACGTGAGCGAGGCTGTTTGTGTGGTAAAACAGTTAATATCATCGGATGAGTAGATCTAGCGGACCACTGCTTCTTTGCAAGCAATGCTTGATTGGCAATACGTACTATAGCACTTGGCGCCAGACAGGCCAGAAGTGGAGCTCTCGTGCAGCGTCCAGAGCTGGGGTCCAGTGGTCGTCATCTGGTTCGTCAGCGCAGTGTAGGTGGCGTCTGTGCACACAATCAAGACGCACTGTGAGATCGCAGAACTATGATAGTTCAAGCGCGTCATAATAAGGACAGTACCGTTCTTGTTGACGAGGCCGAAGTTGCTGTTCTCGCCGTCGCTCCCGCGACCCTCGGCCGGCTGATCAGACCACTGGAACCAATGGAAGCCGACCAGGCCAGGCAACGGGGCCAGCTTGGTGGTGTAGTTCTTGTAGCCCTCAGCGCGCAGGGCCTGGGTGGCCACGAGAAGGCCGGCACCCTTGGTGTTGGGCAGCCCAGAGTCCTGTGAACATGTATTGGTGTGTTATTAATAAACAGTAGTGTAGTGTGATTGCGCTGATAATGAGGAAGAGATGAACGCGTACGGCGGCCTTGTAAGCGAACTCGCCGATGAGGATCGGCTTCTTGGCCGCGTTGTAGATGGTGGTGATCCTCGAAGTGGGCGGGCCGCTGGGCTCGCTGGTGCTGGGGTAGGAGTTGATGGAGACCACGTCGTTGTACTCGCCCGCAGCCCTGAGAACTCCCTCGGTCGGTGCGCCGACGAACCTCACGCCCAGAAGCATGTGGTACGGATCGTAGGTCCTGATCGCTGTGTGACCACCCATCATTGGCTGGTGAGATGAAATGCAAATGAAAGTGTCGCTGGGAGGTGGTTGATGAAGCAGAAGAAGGGGAGCGCACCGGTGCGGGTGACGTTGAAGAACTGGGCAGCAGCCAGGTAGCCGAAGTTGTTGGAGTCGGTGGTGTGCGCCGTCGAGGCCGCGGGAATGGTGGTGATGGCATCATAGCTCGCGTAGGTTGTCCCCCTGCAATCGGCGCGAGGTGTGTGAGTGTGCTGCTCATGTCAAAGTTCAGGCCCATCAGCCTCTTGGTCCGTACCAGGCGGTGTTGAGGGCCTGAATGGTGGGGTACTTGCTCTTGAGGAACGAAACGGCGCGCACGCGACCAGGCGCAGTGGTCGAGAGCGAGATCAGCATCTGGTCCAGGATCGTGCCCGGACGACGCCAGTCGTCCTGACCGCGGTCTCCAATAGGTCCCCACCACATCTGCGCAGCATACACCAGGGTCTCGTTGAGCACCTTCTACTTCTTGACCCAGACCAGGGGGCTGTACCTCATTGTCGAGGAAGTAGCCGATCAGCTTGGTGTCGTTGCGGTACGGCGAGCAGCCGGCCTGGGCCTCGGTCATCACGCTCGCAGCCCAGGCCGGGTTGAACACGTCCGGGAACAAGCCGCCGAGCCACGTATCGAAGCCCTTGCCCAGGCTGAGGGCCCGGGTGTAGGGGAGGCCCTTGGTGATGACCACCGTGTCGGACCACGCACCCAGGGTGTTGAGCTTCCACGAGTTGAGCCGCGACACGACCGAGTCGGCCCAGGCCGACTGGCTGCCGAACTTGGCCTTCACCGCCGCGTTGTACGCCGAAGTTCCTGCGCCGTCGGAGTTGAGTTAGTGTTCGGAGTTAAATAGGTGACCCTCCGCTCTGGTGATGCGAAGAACGTCGAAGAAGGCGTAGTGGGGGGTTAGGTACCGCCAGCAGGAGAGTCGCCCGAGTAGGTGACGACATCGACGCCGTGCGAAAAGAACTTGGCGCCCTTGGGATCGATGAACCACCACGCGCCCGATGACGACTTGCCCACACTGAAGAAGCATCTGTCCGGGTAGCCCAAGTCGATTGCACCATCTACGTTCGCAGCGAGAACAGATCGAAGAGAAGAGGAGAGGAATCAAGAGAGATGAGATGAGATGGTTGCCTCACACTCCTGCAGGAGTGGCTAACGAAACCGAACGCGGTGAGGGTGCGTACTGGTGGAGCTACAGAAGAGTGCGAGCCCGAGGAGCAGGAAGAAGGAGAGAGCGGCCGTTCGCATGGCCGGCTTGCAGAAGAAGATATATACGACAGGAAGGGAGTGTGGTGCTGTGTGCACGGGGCGGCAGACAGATAAGAAGAAGAAGACGCGGAGACACTGGGGTTTTATCTCCGCGCGCGGCCAATGGCGGAGGCTTCACCACCGTGCAACCCTCCGGTGTCGGCCTTGTCTGCCCCTTCTGAACAACCTGAACGTTCATTCGCTGAGCGGGGATTTAAGGGCTTGTGTGATTTGTGACAACACAACCTGAGAGCTCATCCACGGCACAATAATAAAAGGCCAGATAAGGTACTGCAACAGCATCCCGGACGAATCAGGCTCGGGCGTCGTTTCCATTTTTCCAATAAGCTTGCACGAACGGTTGCACAACGCGCCAGTTGTGCCCCAACGTTGTGTTATGTTGTGCCAACATCTCCTCGTGTGTGTGCAGAGGATGTTCACAATGTTGATGTTCTGCGGTTTGCAAACACTGTTGGAAACAGTGTCGCATTGGCTGGCCCAGCCCTTAACTCAGTCGTCCTCGACGCCAAACTCGGCCTTGAGGAGGGGCTTCGCGTTGTGGACCTCGGGCGTGCTCTGCTCGGTGTGGACCACCTCCAGGTCGAGCTCCTCGAGCGCCGAGCTCCAGCTGTCGGTGGCGGCGGTATTCTTCAACACCTCCTCGGGGTCGACCGCCTTCCTGCTGATCCGTATCAAGTCGCCATCCAACACATCACCCTGCGGTACCATCGCACCACACACCGTCGTCGTTATCGAAGGGGTACAACGTCGAACAACAACCACATCACACGGTACCTTGAGCATCTCGCGCGACAGAGGGTTGAGGATGTGCTTCTGGATGATCCTGCGCAGCGGGCGAGCACCGTAGACGGGGTCATAGCCGCGCTCGGCCAGCCACTCGCGCGCCTCCGGGGTGAGCTCGACCTGGATGCGGCGGTCGGCCAACAGGTTGGACACGTCTGCGCGCATTGGATTGGGGGGGGGGGCAGTGGACCACAGTCAGCGCCACGCTTTCCATGGAAAGCGAAAGCGAAAGGGAGAAGAGAGGGGCGTACCCTTGAGCTGGATGTTGACGATGGAGTCCATGTCCTCGTGCGAGAGCCTGTTGAAGAGCACAATCTCGTCGATACGGTTGAGCAACTCGGGAGTGAAGGCGCCCCTCACGGCGCCCATCACCGCGTCGCGCGCTTCCGAGCTGCTGTGGCCCTGCCCAAGCGAAAGAAAGAAAGGAAATATTGGCGACGTGTCAACACAATCCGTGCGTTTCACGCAGTGAGATGGGAGGCATACGGGCGGCAGGTCGGCCAGGATCTCGGCGCCGAGGTTGGAGGTCATGATGATGATCGTGTTGCGGAAGTCGACCTTGCGCCCCTGCGAGTCCGTCAGGCGTCCCTCGTCCAAGATCTGAGTGCGCAGACATCAGTGAAGTCAGCAACACCAGATTGCCAAAGAAAGAAGAGACCTCTCTCTTTCGTAAAACGAAGAAGACGAGAGAAGTGCGTATCGCGTACCTGCAGGAGGATGTTGTGGATCGCCCTGTGGGCCTTCTCGAATTCGTCGAACAAGACGATCTGATAGGGCCGCCTCCTGACCGCCTCGGTCAGCGTGCCGCCCTCTTCGTAGCCCACATAGCCCTGCACAGTCACGACGTGCGATCAAAGCACCATGGTGCGTCAGCCTCGCGTGGAAGCAAGTGGAGTGCGGTGGGGGCGAGGGAAAACGTACGGGAGGCGCGCCGATGAGCCGTGAGACGGAGAAGCGCTCCATGTACTCGGACATGTCGATGCGCACCATCGCGTTCTCGCTGTCGAATAGGAACGAAGCCAGCTGCTTGCACAGCTCGGTCTTGCCCACGCCCGTCGGACCGAGGAAGAGGAACGAGCCGAGCGGCCGGCTGTGCGAGTGAAGGCCGGCTCGAGAAATACGCACCGCATTGCTGTCCCACATAGAGTTGGTCATTCAGAGAACACACACACGCACACACACACACACACGGCCGAGTGGTGGGCATTGTGTACCTGACGGCGCCAACGGCATCATTTTGGCCCTTCACGCGCGATGCAAGGACCTGCTCCATGTGCAGAAGCTTTTCCCTCTCGCCCATCAGTAGGTTGTGAACCGGAATGCCGGTAGCGCGCGACACGACCAACGCGATGTCGTTGTCCGTCACCGCTTCGCCCAGCATCGTCGTCTCGGCCCCTTGGCTGTGGTGCGGTACACACCATTATCCCCGTGACGTCATCAAGCTCTGAATTAGCCGCAAGAGGTCATCGGGAGAGGGGAGCAAGTACACGTACTCCTTGGGCAGCTGCCTCTCGAGGGTTGGGATGATGCCGTAGGCCAGCTCGCCGGCCCTCGCCAGGTCGCCGTTCCGCTCGGCCCTTTGCAAGTCCAGCTTAGCTCGCTTGAGCTGCTCCTTCAGGTTCTTGATCTTGTGCAGCTTGTCTCTATCGGACAGATGCAGTGGCGTGACGTCAGCACAGTGTGGCAGCAGCGGTTGCCACAAGTGGGTGGCGGTGGTGCGTTACCTTTCCTCCTGCCAGGCCCTGGTGAGCTCCTGTGATTTGCCCTCGACGCGGGCGATCTCGGACTCCACCTTCTGCCGGCGCTCGGCGGAGGCCGGGTCGGTTTCCTTGCGCAGAGCCTCCAGCTCGATCTTGAGGGTAATGATCTGACGGTCGAGGTCCTCGATCTGCTCGGGCTTGCTCTCCTGCTGCAGCCTCAACCTGCTGGCCGCTTCGTCCACCAGATCGATCGCCTACGACATGGAGGTGCCCAACCAACGTGTCAACAACACTTGGCCGAAGTGGAGCGAGCTAGCGAGCGCGAGAAGGCCGCTGTACCTTGTCGGGCAGGAAGCGGTCGGTGATGTAGCGGTGAGAATAGACGGCCGCACACACGATCGCGCCGTCGGTGATGCGCACTCCATGGTGCACTTCATACCTCTCCTTCACTGCAGGCCAGGTCATGGCAACGCAGCACACGAATGGGTGAGTTCAGCCGAGAGAGAGAGAGAGAGAGAGACGCAGGCGAGAGTGTTGACAACGACGAGGAGGTGTGCGTACGGCCGCGGAGGATTGAGATGGTGTCCTGCACGGTGGGCTCCGGCACAAAGACCGACTGGAAGCGACGGGCCAGGGCCGGGTCCTTTTCGATGTACTTGCGGTATTCGTTCAACGTTGTGGCGCCAACACTGTGGAGACCAAGACGTAGGTTAGAGCTCTTGGCATAGAGGTAACCGATGAGTTACGGGGTCGGCGTGTGAACTTACCAATGCAGTTCTCCGCGCGCGAGTGCAGGCTTGAGCATGTTCGAGGCGTCCATCGACCCTTCCGAAGCCTGTGATGTGGGTTGGTTGAGTGATTAGGCGCGGAGGCCTAAGGTTGGTTTTGTAGAGAGATCGTACCCCGGCTCCAACGAGGGTGTGCATTTCGTCGATGAAGAGGATGACCTCGCCCTTGAGGTCGTGCACGTCCTTGAGCACTGACTTGAGGCGTTCCTCGAACTCGCCTCTGAACTTGGCACCGGCCACGAGTGTTCCTGATATCAAGGTGGGACGTGAAGCGGTCGTGTGAGTGTAGCCAAGTGGTGTTTGTTTCGTTGCCAAGTCTGGGCGACTCACCCATGTCAAGGCCGATCACCTTCTTGCCCTTGAGGCTGTCGGGCACGTCCCCGTGTATGATGCGCGTGGCCAGTCCCTCTACGATCGCAGTCTTGCCCACACCCGGCTGTTGCGGGTCCAACCAAGCGTCAGCACGGAATCGTCACCGAGCATGGCACTGCTGGAAGCACAGTGGACGCACCTCGCCGATGAGCACGGGGTTGTTCTTGGTGCGACGCGAGAGGACCTGCATGGTGCGCCTGATCTCTTCGTCGCGGCCGATGACTTCATCGAGCTTGCCCTCCTTGGCGAGGGCCGTGATGTCCTTGCCGTACTTCTTCAGCGCATCGCCCGGCACCGCGGCGTCGGGGTTGACGTAAGGCGGCGGTATGGGCTGCCCGCCACGAGTGTAGCCTGCAATACAGAATCAGTCCTACCGATTGATGTGCGATGAATGCATCTGATGCTGGTGGGGTGCAGGGGAGGGTACCATTGGCATAACCACGGCATAGCGGGAACACCAGGGCCGGAGGGTGGAGGAGCACGGTGGAGGTGCCCAGAGCTGCCGGCCAGCGGGATGCAGCACTGGTTCTCATCGCCGACGATCTCGACGATGCTGCAGGTTCGCTGCTGAGCACCCTGCGCACTGCGCCTGCCTGCTGTGGTGCCCTACGGCTCAGCAGTCCCGAGAGGGCGCTGCCACTTCTGGTGCCACCCAGCGCTGCGCGTCTCATCTTCCTATATGATCTGTTTTTTCCTCTCTCTCTTCAGCGTGTGCTCGCACTACACGTTGTGCGCTTTGGTTAGAGTGACTCCTTGTTTCTTGTGCGCTTGGGTCAGAAGAAGGAGGTCGCTGGTACTACACTGCTATCCACAACAGCCGCTGGCAGCCACCAAGAGGCTTCTGGCATTTGCGGTCTTCCTGGAAATTTTGTCGAGTGGTTGCCAGAGCTTCGTCGTCTTGTTGAACACAGTTCGAAGGAGTGAAGAGCCTTATCGCTCGTTCACTTCGATGACGTTCACACAGAGGAGAGGTGTGAGCACTCGGCCAACGAACCGTGAGCCATGTGTAGGTTGTGCCTGACGAATTCTTGTGCCCTGGTTTTCTTCGCTCTTTTCTCTTCTTCATCCTAGTGCTCCTCTTGAAGCTGTTGCAACATGTCGTTCCTCTGGGATTGGTTGTTGGATTTGCTTGCTTCTCTTGGCCTGTGGAAGAAGGAGGCCACCATCCTTCTCCTTGGTGAGTGCACTTTCTTTTGCAAAATCATGACAATTTGATTTGTTGCTGATTAATCGTGATTGAATCCCTCAACTGACCAGGCTTGGACAATGCGGGAAAGACAACCCTTTTGTATGTGTGCCACCTCATATTAGCGATTTGACGCAGCCCCATCCCTCCTGTGCTCATCCCTCATTGTTTTGCGGCCCTGCAGGCACAAGCTCAAGCACGGCGAAGTGCGGCTGTTTGTGCCCACGCAGCGCCCGAGCGTGGAGGAGATCGACGTGGGCAGCGTCAAGTTCCGAGCGTGGGACCTGGGCGGCCACCGACAGGTACCCAATACACGAACCCTTCCTTCCCCTGTGGCCGCGTCAGCCTCACACACCTCTCCAAACCACCACCAGGTGCGCGCATGGTGGCGCGACTACTTCGTAGAAGCCGACGCCATCGTGTTCGTTGTTGACTCTTCCGACACGGAGCGCCTGAACGAAGCCAGAGAGGTGCCCACATTCTTCCCTTCTTCATGGAGGAGGCCACTTCCATTCAACCACCCTCTCTTTGCTCGCACACACCAGGAACTGGCGGTTCTGCTGGCGGAGCCGTCGTTGAGGGACCTCAAGGGCCTGGTCGTGTTGGGCAACAAGTCCGACCTCCAGGGATCTCTCAACAGCGACCAGCTCATCTCCGCCCTCGCGCTCCAGGACTCCATCGAAGAGGTCCGCCCCACTACTATTCCCTTCCATGATCATCGCTTCTGCGCCAAGCTCACCCAATCTCGCACGGTAGGGGAGGCCCATCGGCGTGTTCCGTTGCTCTCTGGTGGATGGCACGGGCTACCTCGACGCCTTCAAGTGGCTCGGCGGTCGCTTGTGAGCGTCACGTAGGCGGCGTGCCGGTGGTCCTTGTTGCGGTGTGGGCAAGAGCTGCCTGCCGGGAGCGAAAGTCTCTCTCTCTCTCTCCGATGAAGCACAAGACGGCAAGAGAACAACTCACCTTGCCTTCGCTGTTTATCTTGTTTGGCGGTACCGCAGGGAGGGCAGAGTGTGAATGTTGTTTATTTGTTTGTGGGGAGGGGGGAAGCAAGACGCAAGCCGGAGAGATTCGACCTTAGGCCTGAGCCTTGTCGTCGCCTTCGCTCTGCTGTAATAACAGAGGTGTGAGTGCGTGCACGAGCCACGAGGAGAGGGGCGTAATCAGCAGGTTGAAGGGGAAAGGACGTACGACGTATTTGTCGAGGTTGTTGGCGAGGACGTGAGTGCGGAACGACAGACTCTTCGTTTTGTCGATAACCTGCTGGTAACTGTGGCGTGTTTCGGTTAGCACGGACGAGGCCCATCGAGAACGCGAAAAAAAAAGCGGACGGGCGGGCGCGTACATGCTGGGGTTCTGCGTGCCCATGATCACATGGTTGGCCGCCGAATCGATCTTGGCATCGAGGTGCGCGTTGCGGATGAGGTTCACGATCCACCGCTCGGCGGCGTCCTGGTCCATATCAAGCTTCTGCGCCAGTGTGCTGATGTCGATGGTCTGATGAATGCGGCAGTAGGTCTCGAAGATGAGAAGACGAGCGTTCTCCATGAACTCGTTGCGGCACGAGACCAGGAAGAAGTCGTTCATCAAGACCTAAAGAGATGAGGTCCATGTGGTCAACGGCTGAGCGTAGAGTCCAGTGTGTATGTGTAAAGGGAAGCAGTACGTTCTCGCACTCGCGCAGCTTCTTCTGTGCGGCGTCAAAGTCAAAATTGGCGTAGAGGTCCTCGAGGAACTCGGTGATGGGGTCCGAGTAGGAGTGCGACTCCTGCTGCAGCACTCTCACGAGATCGTTGAGCTGGTTCCTCCGCCTCTTGTTCGTGATAACGGCTGTCGTCAGGTACCGCAGGATGTGCGGGCAGGTGGTCTGGATGGTGTTCAAATACCTGGAAAGAGAAGAGGAGAAAGAAGAAGAACCATTCAGATCAGTAATGGAGTGGGAACGACCAGACGCTCTTCGTCATGCGTGGAGGGGACGCACTTGTCCTGCAGGAACATGTCCACGATGCCATTGCGACCGTTGGGGTGGTTGAAGAATACAAACAAGCTCCAGTGAAGGAGCCAGGTTCGCTGCTGAAGCTGCACAAGGGGCGTTTTGAAAGTCTAGAGGGGAAACTAGAGTCAGAGAGCGTCGCGATGAAGCTAGGCGCACGCATTCCACGACACGATGAAGCTTACCTTGGCTTCGATGGCTTCCTTCAAGGCCTTGAGGTCTTCGATGGCGGTGGTCCACTTGAGCATGAGGATCTCAGCGGCAAACTTACCCCAGAGGGCGTTGAACTTCTTCTCGGCGTCGTTGCTCAGTGTGCGGAAGTGGTAGAGGAAATCGGCAGCACCCGAGTAGTTACCGCATTCGAACTGGAACTTGGCGCTCTCATAGAGATGATCCAAGCAGCCAGCGGGCACCTATCGAAAAAATCATAATTAATTTGTGGCAAGCCTAAACATGTTGATGGTTGCAGTAGAGGCGAAATGATGGCATAAATTGAAGAAGCAAATTGGTGTACCCCAAGGTTCTCCTGGATGAACTCGATGTTGTAGTTCTTCTCTTCCTTCAATTCAGCGACCTTGGTCTGATCCTGCAGGAGTCGGACCAGAGGGGCGCAGAGAGCGTTCAGCTCCTTCAGCCTGGCCAGCACGGCAGCGCGCTTGGTCGCGAACGTGGCCGGAGGCTCGGTTTCGTGAAGCTTGCGGTGGATATCCATGGCGAAATCGACCATGTTGGTGTTGGAGAGCAGATCCAGCTGCGCCGACAGGAGCTCCTTCTCTCCATAAATCTTGTTGAGTGATGAAGATGATTTTAGTGCCTGAACGCACGAACTAAGAGGAAATGGACGAGAATTGCCCAATGATGGAGCAATTCATTGAATTGAGATGTGAACCTACCCTGTTCTCCTTCAGGAATTCGATCAGGGGGAACACCAGATGGCGATCCAAGTAGGTCGCAATCGTTTGAGTGAGGTCGTACTTCGCCATGGCTGCTTGATTCTTCTTCGATCCGGCGGCAGAGGAAATCTAATTGGCTGCGCGGCAGGAAAAGGGCAGGAAAGCCAAGGCGCACGAAATGAGCACAAATTGAGGGCACCGCGACAGTGGCGCACGATCTGCCACCTCACAGCTTGGCATAATCTGCGGCTTCTCTGATGTACGGCCGATTCTGTGGCATGTCGCGACTATTCGCTGTAGCGCTGTTTGCGTTGCTCCTTGCCTTGCCCGCCGTTTTCCCCCAAGGTACTTGCCAGGCTCCTCCACTCCAATCAACTCGCGTTGAGATTAATCATTTCTCTCTATCCAATTCGGCTGCACAACTCCCATTTCCTTTGCATCTCTGCACTTGGACATCAGGCGCCAAGTTCCAGACCGATGCGGACTGGGTTCGTCCCGCATCAACTCGCCTGCTGCTTCCGGGAGGTTATCAGCTTCCTACTCACTTGTCAGTGCAGGAGGAGTTCGAAGAGGAGGAGTTCGAAGCTGCCGTGCCAGTACACACGGCCAAGCCTGGCGACGCCGCGTCTCCGTCGCACAAGGACGCTGCAGTCAAGGGAGCAGAGGAAGCCGACAAGCCTGCGAGCAAGCTGTCCTTCGCTCTCACTCCCGCGCTCGGTAGATGATGACCAACTGCCGCTGCCGCCACCCTGTCCGCTGTGCTAAACGCGTTCTCTCGTCACCTGCGCACAGGCGACTGGTTCTACGTGGAAACCGCCTGCATTGTGCTGCTGACAGCCTTTGCCGCCAACTACTACTTTGGTCGCCAGGCCAACCGTCGCATCGCCTTGAGCTGGTCCGTTTGCTGACCACTCAGCGCTCTCTGCTTCCCTGCGCGCAAGCGGTTGCTGAGTAGTGTTCTGCTTCCCTGCTTCCCACCGATACCACTAGGGGTCGTACATTCGCGCAGCTGCTCGACAGCAACTTTAGCCGCGTGGGCGAGGGCGGAGGTCTCCTGATCAAGGAGAGCGAGAACCGGTATCGCGTGCCGGCCACTGGTCGCCGCAACTGCCACGGCCTGCAGGCCACACTCAACGTACTTCGCCCCAGTCTTCCTGATGCGCCGGCCCACAAATTGCTTACACTCGCGGCCATGCACCATCACAGCTCGGCAGGCGCCATGACTTGTTTGCGCAGGTGTACGAGTTCTTCATGCCGGCGCCGGACACGCTGGTTCGTTTTTGCTTCTCGACCCTCGGTACATTCAGTGTTCGCAGGAAGCTCACATGTTGCTGGTGTGCGGTGCGTGCGTGGTTTAGACGATTGAGGTGGCCTACGAAGACAATGTCGACCCTATGGTCTTCGCCCTTGTGCCCAACTCGCGGGCCAAGGCCGTGCTCAAGGACATGACCGACTTGGTACGCATCTGTCACCACTGCTCCCCCCAACCACCACTTCCATCAGCTCACGAGCTTACTCTCGCGAAACAGAGCTTGTTCGCCAAGCAAGTCTCGTGGCCCGAGTTGAACCAGTGGTTCACCGTCATCGCCGAGAGTGAGGACGCCGCCAGCCTTGTGCTCACCAAGCAGATCTCTTCCTCTATCGCCAAGTACCACAAGCTGGTCCGATTCATTCACATCTCCGACCAGTTCCCCCACGTGACCTAGTACGTCCCCCCCCCCCATGTTTGCCATTTGACCGAGCGAGGCGCTGATACGCTGATGCCTCGTTTTCTCCTCTAGCAAACGCATGATGCGGTTCGAGCTCAACCTGCCGACTCCGGAGCAGATGGAGGAGCTGGCCACGCTGATGCGCATGATCATCTTCCTCATCGACCACCTGCCCACCGTCAGGCTCCCTCCTGCGGTAAAGCCACCTTCAACGCCTTCACTCGTTTTGACTTGAGCTCATCACGATCTCAACACAACAACCATGCGTGTAGGCCAAGGCCAGAGCAGACAAGAAGAGGACCAAGGCTGCCGAGGAGGAGGCCAAGGCCGCCCACGCGCAGAGGCAAGAGGCCGCGCAGCAGAAGAAGGCCGAGAAGAGGGCCAGCGACAAGGAGAAGCTCAAGGAGCTGCCCCCGGACCAGCAGGCCAAGGCCGCCGACAAGGAGGCTCGCCGCGCGCGCAAGAAGAAGATGGGCAAGCTCAAGGTACGCACTACCATCATCAACGCGTACGTTTTGTTGTGTCTCACTCACCAACTCGTCCTCTGTCCCAGGTTGTTTACGGCTAGACGAGAAGATGGAGAAGACTTGCAGAAGAGGAGAACGGACAGAGAAAGAGGCAAACGAGATGCTGCGCGTGTGCTCAGGGCGTTTGTTATTTATTCCTCGATGCAAACTATGTAACATGGGATGTTGCATCGCAAGCGTAGTGACCCGACGAGAGGGAAGAAGGTGAAGAGCTGAGGAGGAGGAAGAAGACAGAACGAGAGAAGGGTGATGGGGAGAGCGAACTTAGCCGGGGCCAGAGTTGAGACCGAAGAGGCGCACTTTGTGCATGCGGGGCAGCTTCGACACAAGCAGCACGATGAGCGCCACGATATTGATCACCAGCATCAAGAAGTTGTACTGCGTGTAGTGCGTCGTGAGGAGGAACCTGTGCCAACGCCTCAGAGGTGAGCATACTGTTGAGAGCAAACAGGCAGATGAGATGGCGGGGTGGTTGCGTACAGCACGATGGGAACTACAGTGAGCAGTTTCCTGGTGGGAGAGAACTGAATCCCTTGGTCCAATTGCTCCCACATGGTCAGCTTAGCATACTTGTCCTGATCTGAACCCGTGAATGGCGCTCCTTTACTCCAATGGAAGGCCATCCATGTCCCCTGCAGATGAGGTGAGCATGAAGTTGTTTGCTGTTGAAGGAAGGACAGACAAGACGCACCAACGCGTGCACGAGATTCGTAATTGTCCAGGCAGTGGATGGGCTAATGCCAGGAACAAATGTAAGGAAAATCCTGTGATATCCGAAAAATGAAGATGTAGATTAGCGCAGCAAAAGGCCGAGCGGTGGCCAACGTAACGCACCTGAAGCCTATTATCAAGGACAAATAAGCCACCCAAGCGCCCTTGCTGTCTGCACTCGGGAGAAATGAGTGGATTAGGATTTGGGGGGGGGATGGAAGACCAAAGCGGGTGCAGATAAGCACGTACCAAACCATGTCACGTTTCTGTTTTCCTCTAGCGATGCGTCCACCGTCTTCATCTTGCAGCAGAGCAGCCGGCAGATCTAGATCAACGCAAATTTGCTTGTCTGATTGCTTCGCTGGAACGTCGTGTCTGCGTGCTGAGGTGGCACTTTGCGGTGCGAGGCAACCGAAAAAGAAAAAGTTGGTGGAAATCTGCTGCAAAAGAAAAAGAGACGATAAATCGCAACTGATTGATTCCATGATGAGGAGGGCGACTTTGGCACTGCGGGAGCAGGGCAGTGGATGTATGCTGATGGGCCGCTTGCCGGCCGTGAGCTCTCCTTTCACGTCGGGATCTCGCTCCCTTTCGACATCTGCCGATGATTTGCTTCACCTGTTCAAGCAGGCCGCCTCCAAGAGCGCGCCCTCGGCCCCCGCCGCCCCGGCCCAGCAGCCGCGTCCCGTCAGCGCCGGGCGAGGCCGCATGCCTACTTCCGCAGCCACAACTTCGTCGGGCAATTGGGCTCAGCAATTGGCGAACCAGCTCGACGACCGGGCCATCGAGAGCCCCGCCAGCCACCCTGCCGCTAAGCCCCTCTATCAGGGCCAAGATGAAAAGAAGCGCAAATTCCGCCCAGCCAGACATGCGTTCGATCCCTCAGCTCCTCGCGGGGGCAGCATGGAAGATGTGGCATCGCCGCTGTCGCGCGGAGGTCGTGGGCGCAGGATGCGGGGTGGCGTCTCGCTCGGGTTCGATGACGCTAGATTCCAGGACGCGGCGGAGGAAGGGGAAGACGATGATTTCGACATGCGAATGGTCCTCCGGGAGGAGAAGGACGATGCGAAGGACCTCGTTTCCCTCTCGTCGGCCATGGACGAGGGCGGAGATGACGATTGGGAAGCGATGGCCGCCGAGATCAACGCCTGGGGCAAGAAGCTGCAGAATTCGCTCCGGCCTCACATCGAGGTCCTGAACAAGCACACCAAGACCAGGCGCATGCGAAGGCAGAAGTACCGCGCCTTCCTCGAGCGCTGCCTCGCCCGTCGCGAGGCCAAGAGGTACCACCTACCACTACTCTACTCTTTCATCTTCTTGCCCCCCCCCGCTACACGTTGCATGTAGCGTGCGTCGTGCTCATCACCCGTGACACCACAGGGGCGGTGCGCCTAAGCCTGCTGGCTGGCCGTGGCCCAAGGAGAGGGACCTCGTCTACAACACCGACCTGTTCGTTCCGCTCAACCTCGAGCTCAAGGGCATCGAGGAGGAGGGAGAGGACCTGCACGCCCTGCTCACCCAACAGATGGAGGTTCGATTCTTCTCCCTCTACAACCAGCGCACAGTAGTGAGTACCCACTAACGGCCGCTCACGCCTTCTTGCGTCTTCTTCATCTACTCCACATCCTCTTCCAGGATGCCGCCCGTGCGATCGGGCACAACGCCTCGTGGCCGCTGGAGGAGAAGAGGAAGCTCATGCTCGGGCTCAAGAGGTTCTACGAGCAGGCCGTGCGTAGCGGTCCCGGCTCGTACGACCTGTTCGCCGACCATCGCCACGCCCTGGACGATGACGACTTTATCGGCGGGGGCGGCGGTCCGTCCAGCAGCGAGTGATCGTCGCAAGTAAATGCTCAACACGCCTTCATCTTCAAGCTAGCTTCTTCAGCGCCTCTTTCTGCTTCTTCGTGTAGAGGGGGGTGGGTGGGTGTGGGTTGGTGGCCAACAGCAGAAGGGACAACGCCTGTTAACTGTCGACAGAGCTGCGAATTGGCCGAATTTTACAGCAGATGGGCCAGTGGAGGTGGAGATTGGCTTGCGTCCAAGCGACATTTGGCCAACTTTGCCTTCATCTCCCCCTACATCAGGGGATCAAGCCGACCTACGCCTTACCTTTAAAAACCGACCACCCTAGCGCAGGCCATTCTACCACCACACTCACAACCACCACCTCCTCCCAACCAACACAACCAGCCATGTCCACCCCTCAGCAGACCAACCAGCAGACCCCTACCGGCGGCTACCCAGTGCCCTCGGTGCACTCGGGCGCGCCCCAGTTCGGCACCGGCGCCAACCTGGTCCACGACGCGCCCATTGTGAAGAAGGACATCGTGCACGAGCACCCCGAGATCGTGCACCACGAGCATCACGTGCAGCCGGTCATCCACGAGAAGGAGCGCCACATCCAGCCCGTCCACAAGACCGAGATCACGACCGAGCACCCGGTCCTCCACAAGGAGACGATCGTGCAGGAGCCCGCCCGCATGGAGACTGCCGGCCACGGTGTCACCGAGCCCCACCACGTGGGCATCGGCCAGAAGATCAAGGGCACCATGAAGGAGGTCCAGGGGGCCATCACCCGCAACCCAGCCCTCAAGGAGGAGGGCAAGCTCATGAAGCAGGGCGCCACCACCACCGGCACCACCCACTACTAAGGGAGGCCCTCTTACCACCATCATCTTTTCTCTTCTCCACTCTTCCCTCTCCCTCCTTCTCTTCTCTGCTCATCATGAAGGCGAGTAGCTCGTCCTCTTCTTCTCTTTCTTCAAATAAAAACCAATTATTTCCTCATAAGGCGGTGGTTTATTTGGTGATCTTTGACTCCTCCTCAGAGGATGTGGAACTGGGAGTAGAGCAGGTCGCGCACCGCAAAGTAGTCGTCGCACAGAGCACCGTTCACGCTGATCTTGCTCCTCCCGCTGAGCCCTTCCGTTTCCTAATGTGCGCGTAACACCAACACAACGTTAGACACCACACGACACACTACACTACACACACGCGTGCATGTTTCGCGAAGGTACCTTCTTGAGCATGACCACACCGTTGCAAATCAACACACCAGCCGCGAATTCAGTCTGTGTGGCAAGAGTGGCCATAAAGATGGTGGTCAATACACGGCCACGTTCGGGGAGGGAAGAGAAGGTAAGCTACGTACCCGGAAGCCGTGCTGTGTGAGAATGTCCTTGAAGTCGGAGAGGCGCACTTCGCCCACAAAGACCGGGTCGTGGGGCGGGATGATCTCCTCGGGGGCCTGCTCGAGCTCGAGCTCCATGCCCTCACCTGCACGACCAGCGACACACAGTGAACAAAGGCGAGAGAGCCGGACCGTGTGTGCGCGTGCGTGCGTGTGTGTGCGTGTGTGTGCGTGCGTGTAGGAGGCGGATTGGT